GTAATAATAGCAATAATAGTAATAATAGTAATAACAATAATACAAGGACAGCTATGTAGGGACAAGGGGATACAAATACTGAAGAGTCCGACAGCCAGATGGCCTTGACTAAGGCTTGAAGCCCGGACTGGCCGGCTTTCGGCGCATGTCCGGAGGGCATCTCGTGGAGACTTCGTATGGTCTTCGAGGTCGCGTCAATTGCTCTACGGCTATGTGCGGAGAGTAAAGGCCGGCTTGCCGTGCCTTTTGCCGTCGCTGAGTCTCACACTCTTCAAACGCCGACTCTTGGAGCTCAAAGATCAGGACATGCTTTGCACTTAGGGTTATGTAGCCAGTCGACTAGGAAAAGAGAGGCGTCATAATATGACAACGGGTAATGGTGCTTCAAGGCACGAACGAATGGTCGCTGTCTCTGGCCGCAGGCTTAAAAGTCGATTGTTCCGAATGGAGATGTCTACAACTAGTCACTGCCGAATCTCCTAAAGCTGGACTGGCAAGGTGCCAAATTGCCTTTGGAGTGTAACACACTGTCTTGATGTCTTTTGCAATCAGGATCGGTTCTGTTCGTAAGCCTCAATCTTCCAGCCCGATCCCCCGCGAATTCTGGTCATGCTTGTAAGGGCCTTCTTTGAGGGCTGGGGTTTTGGGCTTCAGGCTCCAGTGACTGGGGTCTCGATTTCAAACTTCTCGAAGATCGGAATTCGAGCTTTACGGCTCCCAGCTCGAATGGAGAAGATGGGTGTCCCACACAGGCGGAGTGGTACGCGCCCAGGGCCACCTGAAACAGGCAAGGAAGAGTTGGGGTCGTTCTGATGTAACCTGGGCCGTGGCGTTGGTAATTCCTTGCTCTCCGTATCTGCCAGGACTAGCTGCGTTCTTCCCTTGATGATGACTCTGCAGTTCTACAAGACAGTATATGCCCCCGTCCGGCCTCGAGGGCCCTTGCATTCACAGCCGAAGGAATCCGATCAAGGATTGCAAGGGAGCGGTCTCGGGAAAGAAGTTTTTGTCAAGCCCCCCCAGCCACAGCCCCTTGTCAGCCATCGTGTACTAGAGCGGTTCCCCCTTCGGTGTTGTTCCTCCTTCCAACAGCAAAAGCATCGACATCTCAAATGCGGATGTTGTGACAACGTCCATACATTAAAGATGGTGTGACCATCCACCACTCAAGTGCGAACGTTGGTCCAGGGTTCCTTGTCCAACACATCCTGGTTCTGCCTTGGCCGAGGTCCCTTGAACAGTGACGGGGGCTTGCTATGTCTTCGACGATCTGTTTGCCATGTGGTCCGGCTTGCGGCATGCCAGCCGTCATCTTCACTCAAGCTCACCCATGCAATCACAACTGTTCACACTACTCCATCGACAGGGAGTTTGCGACCGCATCTTCGCAGGAGACATGTTGGTGTTGGCACCACTGATCACCACTGACACGTCATCTCGCTTGCTCACAGCCTTCACGGGTGGGCTTTTGCGTTGATGGGTTTAGTTGGTGGGATCTGCATGGGGCAAATGCAGGCGGAACGGAAAGCAAAGCCAAAATCATAGCTTCCTTGCCAAAGTGGGGCCTAGTTCTCTGACCTTCCGGACCTTCTCCCTCTCTTCTCGTCTTTGTCTTTTTGTCTAGTCCTCTCCCTCGACGCCTTGGCTGCTCCTCCACCAACTGCTTGAGCCTAGCTGAAGCCGTCAAGGCGAGGACGTCTTCACCCCGACTTCTTGGACCCTGCTCTTGATTCAAGGGTGTCACCAACAAAACACACGAGGACCCGAAGTTAATCGCGCACCTGTCGCACGGCCAGATCCATCTCTATCTGGACCGGCTCCTGAGGATCGTGTGAGAGGGCTTTCCAGCAAAGGACAGCTCTTTCTGCTCGAGGCTGCAAAAAGTCCAGCTTGAAGCGTTTAGGTTTCGTGTCGGTAGTAACGGTGTGTAAGGACTACTTGCCGTTGAGAAGATGCAGATGCCCGCGCTTCAGGGACTCTGTCAACCTGCAAGGGGTAATCAGGCTTTTCATGCAAGAACCCCATCAAAAAGATTAGGTTGGGCTGTTTCCTGCCTGGTGCAACTGTCTTACAGGCGAGCTGTACTGCTATCCGTAGGAAAGTTAATTGAGACTCGAACTGGATTCTCGCGCGCTGCTGTTCGGGCTGTGCCCTGGTCAACGTAACATGTGTTAAAGCCTATTTTGAGGTAACCTGTAGGGCTTCTCACCATGCGAATTCGAGCATGCGAACCAAGACGGCATCGCCCCACCCAACCCTGAATTGTAAGTTACGCACTCAACCCTTTCGGGCTGTTCAGCTTTTCGATCGTTACAGGCTTGAGTTTCTGGTGTGCCACTACTACTACTACTACTACTACCACCACTACTACCACTACTACCACTACTACCACTACTACCACTACTACCACTACTACCACTACTACCACTACCATTACTACTACTACGACGACGACGACGATTACGACTACGACTACTCCTCCTACTCCCATTGCTACATTAGCTACGGCTACTGCTACTGTTACTGCTGCTACTACTACTACTGCTGCTACTACTACTACTACTGCTGCTACTACTACCCCTGATACTAAACCTACAACACTAATGTATTCATACTACTCTAACGACGACTGCTACGACTACTGTGGCTACGACTACGACTCTGCTCCAACTCCACCTGCTGCCGCTGCTGCTGCTGCTGCCACTTGAATGCTGGTCCTACCAGTACTACTACCGGCAGCTCCCGCCAGCCCTACTAAACCCTTACCCCCGACGTCCAGAACCCTGAAACCCTGCGGCGAAGGCCTGCGTGGAGGCTCCGGAGATCTCCCGCCCAAGCTGGCTGTACTTGTTGGAGCCATAGGCGTACAGCCCTTGGCTGCGAAAGCTTGGGCGAAGCTGTTGGGGATTCCGTTTGAGCCGCTTCTGGCTTCTGGCTTGGCGTTTGGGAGCTCACGCTTCTTATTGCGAAGACCTATGTCTCGAATTGCGACCCCCACCATTAAGGAACTTGAGCAGTCTGTCACAGTTCCAGACAAGAACAAAATTAACGGACCATGCGACTGCGGGGATACAGAGACCCACAAGAAGATCTCATGCAAGTGGGGTCTCAGGTGGATGTCGAACTATGACGGTGAGACTGCAATCTGAGAAAAGCATGGTGGTGAGTAATCCGTCCAAAGCACGTCGAGTCAGAAGTAACCTTAACAATCAGCAACAAGGCTAGCTTTCTGCTGGAGCGATCTTTGCCAAAGACATGTCACATGGAAAAGCTCCTTAAATGATGATGTCCGTGAGTAACCAGTCCGATGCTACAGCCGCCAATGCCATCTCTACATACATTCTACACCATGCGTAGCTCCGAAAGTCTCAGCAGGCAGTATTAGCAGTCGTGACAAGGACCTCAGGGCCTCGGGGGGTCCATCTGAACTTCTGCATATCACGCTGCACAAAGCCTAGTCCCGAGTAAACGTCCCGATGCAGTCTTGAAGAGCAGATCACGTAGTGTACTGTCCCGTGCAGCGGAGCATCGACCACCAGCCACGAAAGCAGAGTGACTTGATCCGCATGCAGCTGTCTCGATGCCTTTCTCTGCCTCCAGCCTCGGAGCAAATAGGACTTCGTTCAGAACCAGCCGTGAATCCCAAAACTGAATTTTTTTTCTGTAGAAACTTGTGCAAGTGGCATCGTTTCAGGATACTCGAAACATTAGGCCGAGTGCGATGAACCGCCGCAGCTGCAGACTACAGTTATGGTATGTTATGATTGATGGCCAACAGCTGGCAGAAAGGTGCCATGTCCGTGAGAATTTGAAAGCAACGCCCGCAAACGAAACCACACTCGACCCTTCACTGGACCCGCTCAAATCATGCCGCCGGACCCATCACCAAGCTGCAAGGAGTCGAAACCCCAAGTTCGTAGTCCTGTTTGCGCTGGGCAGCGAAGGCTGCGTCGACTTCTCTGGCGCCTCAGCCTGTGTCAGGAAGCCGGAGTCAGTGGCACCCCAACGCCAGAGCCGCCTTGCCTTGCCCAGGTCGGAAAAGGGTCAGCCTAACGATCCTAGGGTAGTGTCAAGACAGTCTGGGAAACAACTGCGTACATAACAAAGCAGCTAGCGACAGTACTGGAAATCCTAATGCCTGCCATCCGCAGATGTACCAATAATGTCAGCACGTGTACATACATCCACGCTATGGGCGATTGCCGTCAAATGTGCCGCATAGGCATAACGCATTGCAACGATGACGCGTTGATCATGACGAAGGCTTGTGGGTGATGGTGATGCTGCTGCTGGGCACTGTGAAATTTGATCCGGGGGGATGCTCATTGACCCTCAACTCGTCGTTTCATCGGTCTGTAGACCGGACATGTCTCACAGCCGAAAGCTAGAAAATAGTTGCACAAGACGAAGGAACCATAATGATGAAAGCAATCACAAAAAAAACACACTAACAGATTTCCCACCTCCGCTGTGGCAGCAAAGCGCCGCACACGCACAGCACGCGCGACGGGCCGAACCTGATCAACTCGTCGGGCTTAGGGTTAATTAGGGTCCAGGAGGATATGGGGTGTAGTGGTTCGTTTCTCGTGCAGCAGAGTGCTTACGTGGCCGAATGCACACGCTGGACCAAAATCGCCTTCCCGCTACACTCCGCTGACGGTGCTCTTTCGTGAGAAAACCTAGTGCACTTCAGTGTTCGAAACTTTGCTGAAGTGGCACTTCCTTCGATCAGTTAGTGGTCTGTGAAGCCACCATGCCCCAAAGCTCAACTTCTCAAGCCCACATCAAATCAAACTGGGTGCGTGCTTTTGATGCTGACGGGTGCTGGCCCCCTAACAATGGCTTTTACTCGGTTCCAGTGCTGTTTTTGGGCTGGCCCACACTGGCAAGCTTTCGGAAATCCTACGAGGCTAGTCCTTATCTAGCTGTCCGTCGTCTGACGAGTGGGAGTTCGCAGTTTCGCTGGCGGGGAGGCAGGCGGAGGAAGCACACCGGGAACACCAGTCAGGAGGCAACATTCCCTGAATCCAGCAAAGCCCTTCGTGCTGGCTCGGAAGGAGAACTCCGAGATCTGAAGCCCGGCACCATGGGCCCCTAAACCCGCCGGGCCCACCGCCGCAAAGCGGATCATGGCAAGGGCTCGCCGGGATCGGCTCTTGAACGCTTGTGAAGCAAACGGCAGGGCATCATCAGGGATTGCAGTTCTGGATTCCTACAATTATTACATTCGACTACATTCATACACTATAATCTTCCATATTATACCATATTATACATTACTGTATCATCGCAGATCATTTCATTTCCATTTTGCAGCAGGCACCGCCATGCAATACCATCAACAAGTCTCAAAGCTCGGTGCCATCCTCATCACCCAATGTAGCTGAGTGCAGCCGTTCCCGATAAATCATCGGCATCAACCTACCTGATGCTAGCCGTCGTCGCCATAATAACCACCGATGCCGTCATCATCGCCACCACCACCACCACTACCACCACCACCACCACCACCACCACCGCCGTCGCCGCAATCACCACACTCTCGTGACCAGCAGCGCAACACCACCACTAGCATCAACACGGTCCGAGTCTCCACCATCAAAATCAGCAGCATCACTCGTCAGCTTCATCTTCGCCACCATCGGTACCAATATGATAATCATCAGCCACGTAAGCATCGCCATCAGTCACCACACTCGTCATGATCACCGATGATGTGTCAGGGCAGACCATGTTCCAGTCTGGACTTCAGATCACATTGGATTTTCCTGCATAAACGATTGTCAACACTGCGAATCACAAGCAACCAAAACTCAGCACTGTGACACAAGCCCCTGTCTCAGCGAAGTGACTAGCTACAAAACCCTGAAGTACTCAATGAATGCCTAGCTGCTCTGAGGTGTTATCCTTAGGCTTCAAGAACTGAAACGAGCCAGCTGAGAATCGGGGCTATATTTCCTGCCGAAACTTCGGATTTACAGCGCAACTCGAGTCGAGATGGATCTGGTTTCAAACCGACTCGTGCGTCCTTGATGAAAGATTATGCAGATGGCTTCCGCGCTTCGCTTTTTGCACACGCTTCGTCACCAGTGCAGCAGCTTCAATAGAGCCTTGCGTTTAGCCGAGCTCGGCACGGCCTCCGCGGGAAAAGGGGAAAGTTGTCGCTGTGTCCCAGTCTGTCTGTACACCTGGTAGCTGGTTGATGAGCTCTCTTGGAGCCGCATCCTTCTGAAAGCAGGGAACTTCTGGACAAGGAGATCTTGCTGTCGAAAGAGGTGCATTGCAAGATTCCAAGACTGCAGCGCTGGGCTGCACCCTGATTAAAGACGGCACTGGGAAGTCGAGCTTCCCAGAAAAGATGTCCCGCTTGGCGACTTGGGAGTTCACTGCTGGAAGTCTGAAACAGAGTAGGATCCTTGGAAGAAGGTAGCCGATAGCCCCCCAAATTCCAAGCTTCGAAGGCGTTGATAGGCAGGAGCTTGCCTTCGAGAGACAGCTCAGCCGAGTCTCCGGGCGGCCCAAGGCCCAAGGATGCAGAGGCTCTTGTAGCTTTGAAGTGCTTTGGTTGGAACATCTGCACCGTGGGGCCTTTTGGGCTCGTCGGGCTCGAAATCGTTTGGCTTTGGGCCTCTTAAGGCTGTCAGGGTGCTGCACACCCGAGGCAAGGCAGGGCCTGCCGGTCCAGTCGCTTCCGAAAGCATGGCTCTGCAACTCTTCGATCTCAACAGAGACTTAAGGATTTAGGCCTTAAGTGCTATGTTTTTCCAGAGGCCGGTTGCAGGCTCTGCCTTGCCGAGGACGCCCCTTGCCAGCCTCGTCGGCCCGGTAGCTAGCGCAATTATCCTTTGCGAGGCCACCGCAAGTGGATGCAAGTGACGAGATGATGGAAAAGACCCAAGTAAAACCAAGGGACTCAGAACACGACACGGTCTACAGTAGCCTTAGAAATGTCGGCAATACCCCTTTGGTTCTATTTTGCTGACCCCCCGACTGGCTCGTATCTTGCCGAAGTGAATGACAAAGCTCGTAGGGATTGTGGGGCCATTGTGGGGTGAGATCAAGTCGAGGCCATGAGGGAAATCTTGAGAATTACTTGGGTTCGTTGGACAACCCCTGCCTTAAGGACTTAGTAGCCACCGTGCAGGAGTCTGAGTGTATCATTCACTGAAAAGCTAAAGCAGGAATATCATGGATTCAGACGTTCAACTCTTCCGGGTGAGACTGCAGAACACAAGCCCTCACACCTTGACAAACCCCACAGCCAGGAGTCACAGGATCAAAAACTGCCCTTCATCGGCAAGGAGGCTTGTAAGACTACGCATTCCGGAAGCAGGCACAATCCTGACACAAGCCCCAACCCAATTGCCACGTCAAGGCCCGCCAAGGATGTAAGAGTGATGTAAAGCTCAGTGGAAGTATCCATACGAGCATCCGAATTCCACAGCACGCTGGCAACATCTCCCTATATGAGCGCAGCCGCACTGGGGAGCCTTGAGCTCGCGGAATATGAAGTTCATCCTTTCAGACCCTATGAGAGAAACAACTGCCCCGGAATCAACTGCATGCTGCATCGTCCATGCCCCGCTGCGATTTGCGAACTTCCAACTTGAAGAACGGAGCCGTCGCCACCGTGGCCGTAGACTTTGGAGCTCGAATCAAACAACCAAACCGGACGAGCCAGACACGCCACATCATCAGAAGCGGCTTGTGTCCAAAACAACACAGGGTTTCAGATCCTACAGCCCTACAGCCCTGGCTTGGCCGCCTGGCCCTGCACTGCCTTCTGACATACAGGGTTTCGGCGCTCAACTGGGACAGTCCAGGCGAGGCGTATGGTCACTTGATCGGCAAGGTTTGAAGTTTAGGATTCCCTGCATTGTCAAACTCTAACCAAATCCACGGGGTAACACGCGAACCTCACAACATCAAAACAGACAAATAAGGCTTTTTGCAATTGAAATCCCAACAGGATGAATCTATCCATCTCAGAATCTTCAGCTCAACGCGCTCACCCGGGATTCTGTGGTCTTGAAAGCCAAAGATCAGGAAAACTCCACAGGCTTGGGCAGCACAAGTGTCATGCAAAGCTGACAATGATGGCACACTCCGTGCTCCTTGCTGTTTGAGGGCCGCATGTCATGTAACCTGCTTGTCAAAGACCTGATGTAAGAAAGGGGTCTTGCTTCACGGCGTAGGTGTAGAACATGCTTCAGGGTGTCGTCTATGACTGACGCATGACTCTCTGAGCGGGAGTGACAAGCTGTTGAAAGTCTCTGACATTCACAGCCTCACAGCTTTGCAAATCACCCACTTGAAAACCGTTTGCATCTAGGCCTTTACGCTGGCCTTGATTGCTTTCATGGGCCGCAGTCACACCATGAGCCGACACGTACAACCGGCTCATTTCATTTGCGCGGAAGTCTGTTGGGCTCGAACCTGTCGTCAGGCTCGCATGGAACAGCACGTGTCTCCCTGTCACTATGCTCAGAAACAGTGATCATGAAGCAGAATGACATGAGCAATGAGCTGCATCTCGCTCACCACGGCTTATCTAGAAGCTTCCTACTGAAGCCGATGAAAATAGCTGTTCCCCAGCAGCACATCTGCAAGATACAGTATAAGGTCCTCTTTGCTGTCACACGACAGGATCGAACTTCGACGCAGAGACCGCCTAGAGCTGCAAGGAACTGCGCAAAGGCGGCTCGGGGAGCAGCTGGAACAGCTGCGTCGCCCCAGTCACCTAGGCATCAAAATATATCGCGTGCCAGGGATTGTGTACGTGGTATGTCACGGTGCAGAGAGACACGCTCAAGCTGCGCTGGCAGCAGAGTCAGCAGATTGCGATTGTGATTCAGTAAGAACGAGATGACTGCGCGGCTTGTCTCGTATGGCTGCAAGCGTCCCAGTGAGCTACGGGCTTTTGTGAAGAGTTGTCATTTGTACAAATGTGCACCTTCCTCTGATGATTGGGACCTACACATAGGACTTGCTAACCTTAAGCCTTAAGCTAAAGTCACGGAGGCACCCCATTCCTCGGATGACCCAGACAAGAAACTTTCGGAAATGGACTGGCGCTACGCCGTCTACACCTTAACAAAGCGCCGGGCACGCTAATCCACAACTTCTCCCCGAGCGGTCAAGAGCCGGTGGCTGGGGATGGCACCAACTCGCCACGCGTCCGTCCCGCCTGATGCAATCCGGGAAAGTTTAGGTCTAATTCAGTCGTTTGCGTCAACGAACTGCCGCAAAGACCACGGGAATCCCGACAACCATAGCTTCTGCTGCTTGCAGGGTGGGCGGCATGAAAGCTCGAACCCTCAGGCAGGCACGACCGCGTCCCGCAAAAGTTGCTTCCAGCAAGCACTGGCACGTTGGCTAAGTGTCGAGGAGCGCTCAGACTGAGACAGGATTTGGAAACGGCACCGCAACTCTTTGCGCTTGCTGTCGCTCTGCTGACTTGTTCAGGTTCGGATTTCAGCGAACCACCGCGCGTGCAAACGAATCGAAGGAGGCAAGCCATGTTTGCCAGCCCGGGATTGCTTCTGGAGCATGTGCCGTAACAGGACATAAACAAAGAAGTCCAGGTTGGCAGACCTTTCCGCTGTCTTAGAACACAGCTCGGTAGACTGAACGGCTTTCCTGCTCACACGTTGCGTTCAGCAAAGCTGCGAAGGCCGACTGAATCCCAGATCCCCAACAAATTTTTGAAGGGCTTCCCGAAAACCCTGAAGTCTCTGCCGTCTCTGCCTCCTGGCCCTTCGTGATGTCTGGGACCAGTGAGCGGTATTGGGGTCGCTTGGCGGCCTCGTTGTGTGTGAGGTCGTGTTTCGGAGCATTGGGGATCGAAGTCCGAGTCTACCTGCTACTCTTGAGCCCTGTGGGATGAGATGATACCCGGTATATACCACATAGAAGGAGAGTTGCAGAAGTATTGGGATGTGGTTCAAGAAATTTAGCACGGGGCAATACCCAGTATTACTGGGTTGTAGTGTGACCTATT